TAAAAACTCGATAAAAAGAGCCTACCAGGTGGTCATGCAGGGAACACAGTATCTCTTTGTTTTGCATTCAATGCACCGTACGACCTTTCCTTTGTCGTTTCTTTGGCATTGATGACACATGTTAGACTCAAGAAATCCCTGCAAATATCACGACAGGTCGAAGTAAATACCGATCTAATTGCTTAAAGAACGTTGACACGTGTACACAATTAAAACTAAAACGAATTAGATTACGAAAGTTCCGCTTACCTCGGTATCCTTGCTCATTACACGCTTTGGTACATTCTCTGAATTCACCGTCTTTGCTCCAATTGGATTGCTTCTCCTTTTATTCTCCCTCTTCCCGACTCCTTCACCATCCTCCCTGGATTCACTACCGCTCCGTTTTCTTCGATTGGTCTTCTCTTCCTCCTTTTGGTTTATTTTTTCTTTAACTTCACCGCCTCCGGTTATAAGTTCGTCACTCTTCTTTTTCTGACCCCTTCTCCTCTTCCCCTTCCTTGAACTATCCTCGTCTTCCGATTCATCAATCTCCATCTGCTCCTTCAATTTCTCCTTTGCCTTTATACTCGATTCCCTAGTCCTCGAGCCACGTCCTTCACACTCTACCTTATTTCCGTTTTCTTTTTTATCACCTCCATTCTGTACATGTTCTCCCTTTTTTGTCTCAGCAGAAGACGAAACAACACCGTTTTCTTCTGATTCGTTCCCCAAACTAATATTATTATTCTCCGTTTTACAACTCACATTTTCCTTTTCTGCCACCGAATTAATTATCTCTTTCCCCTCTCCAACATTACCCCCATTTATTCCCATCTCTGAACCCTTTTCTTCTTCCTTCACATCTCTCTTTCTCCTACCCCTTTTACCCAAAGATCTCCTTTTTCCGTCTCTTTCACCGTTTTCCATAGAAAGATCGTCACTTTCTTCATAGATGCTTTCGTTATAGTTCTTCATAGGGCGATCCCTCTTCGAACGCCGGGTCGCACTCTCAGTAACAGAGCTACCAAGATTCTTCCCTTCATCTTCTGTATTATTATTCATCTTCTTAGGCCGACCCCGCCTTTTCGAGGGCTCAACCTTTTCAGTAATTGAACCACCACCACTAAGATTATCCACCACGTTTTCTCCATCTTTCAATATTTTAGCATCAACCCTCTCCACCCCATTATCCATAGCAAGATTATCCACCATATTTTCTTCGACTTGTTTGAAACTGCTTCCTTCTAGATTATCCGAAATATTTTCTCCATCTTTCGATATTTCAGCATCAACCCTCTCTTCCCCACTCTCCACAGCAAGATTATCCACCATATTTTCTTCCTCTTGTTTCAAATTACTTCCTTCGAGATTATCCACCATATTTTCTCCATCTATCGATACTTCAGCATTGACCCTCTCTTCTCCACTCTCCATAGCAAGATTATCCACCATATTTTCTTCGACTTGTTTGAAACTTCTTCCTTCGAGATTATCCGACATATCTTCTCCATCTTTCGATACTTCAGCATCAACCCTCTCTTCCCCATCCTCCACGGCAAGATTATCCACCATATTTTCTTCCTCTTGTTTGAAACTACTTTCTTCGAGATTATCCACCATATTTACTCCATCTTTCGATGTTTCAGCATCAACCCTCTCTTCACCACTCTCCATAGCAAAAGTATCCACCATATTTTCTTCCTCTTTTTTGAAATTACTTCCTCCTTCGATATTATCCACCATATTTACTCCATCTTTCGATATTTCAGCATCAATCCTCTCCATAGCAAGATTATCCACCATAGTTTCTTCATCTTTTGATATTTCAGCATCAACCCTCTCCACACCACACTCCATAGAAAGATTATCCACCATATTTACTCCATCTTTCAATATCTCGGCATCAACCCTCTCTTCACCACTCTCCATAGCAAGATCATTCACCATAATTTCTTCCTCTTTTTTGAAACTACTTCCTTCGAGAATATCCACCATAGTTTCTCTAGCTTTTAATATTTCAGCTTCAACCCTTTCGACCCCACTCTCCATATGATCTTCCGAAACCCTCTCTTCCCCACTCTCCATACTACCAATGTTAGATCTCTATTGAATATTATTAATACACTACAACAGACAACAGACAAAAGATTAAACTAGGGCAAACAAATTGTGTTTTTTTTCCCTCACAAAATCGGAACAATAAAAAGGGTTCTAAAATAAGTATTTCAACAGGTACTAGGGCAGAAGGACAGAAATTGGACAAACAGTAATAATATATAATACTCCAAAATCTTGAAAAATCCCGCCTTTTTCTGCGAATTGACGTTTGCGCGGTCGATTTTCTATGTGCGCCGCGGTTTAATTGATTTGGGGAAAAGCAAATAATTTTAAGCTAATTAGGGCACCTTTTTTAATGGTAATTTGATGGGGATGGGAGCCCAAGCGTCACCTCTTCTGTTCTCTTTATCTCTGCCACCTATCAAATCATCACAATGTTTCAGAATTTCAATTTTAATCGTACTTTTTTTTTTTTCTGTTTTGGCAAATTTTACACTCAACCGTTTGTTCGAAGAGAGATGTTTGAGATGTGATGATTTACGAAACGGTGTCGGATTTGAAATTCAATTGCTTGTGGGATTGATAAGGTGTATAGCAATTCGAATTAAAGTGACGGCTGCATCTTGATCCAAGTGTTTTTATTTCAGAAAAAATGAGTTCTTATCTTGGTTTACTCTGTTTTTTTTTTTTCCTTTTGAAAAAAAAAAAACCACAGAAAAAATGAAGTTTAAGTTGTTGCAGTTTGTATGTTGCTAACTGACAAATCGGGGGAAGTCTGTGCTCCCCCGAGTAGACATGATCACGGAGCGAGTTGGACCCGAAACCGACCCGTTGAACTATTAATGCAAGAACAAAACTCGAGTCTTCTGGGTTGAAATCCAGAGGACTTAAGTGCTGGGCTACATTGAAATTCTGATTTTTATGTAACAACAACATTTTATATTGAATAAAAAGACAAAATTGCTTTGATCTAGTTCTTTTACATCCATAAAGTTCAACAATCAACTTTTTCAATGTAATAATAAAAGAGGTTTTTTGTTTTGGAGTGAGAGAGAAGAAGGAACGCATAAGATATGAAAGCCGATGATTCCGAAGAAGATCAGGGTTCCGTTATTGTTTCTTCATGGTCAACACTTTCATTCGATGAATTCTTGTTTTTTTAATTCCTATAAGAAGAGATTGATCCATGTTTAACCTTGATAAACTTTGACGTTTAATATCGAATCTTTTTTTGCTTGCATTTATTTATGTTTCCTTATTTTTAATGCGTTTGATTATCCGACCAACAGTTGAATAGATTAATTGCGCCAAGAATGAGTACGGAGTAGAATTCCTTGTTAACATCCCGGGAAATTATAACTTATTTCCAAGAGAAATATCTAACCTTAGCTCGCTTATTTAAGAACTCGTTTTTAATGCATTCTTAATATCATTTCTCTCTTTGATTGAGAGTGGTTGTCTTTTTCTTCAATCTATCTTTTTTTTCTTGTCCATAAATTTCATTGTTCTGCTTCTATTTTCTAAATATTACGTGCTGAAGATTTGATTGTACGTATGTTTTCTGTAGTCTCGGTTAATTATTAGGTTTTTTCTAGGGTTTTGTTACGGCGGCTAAGTTTTAAGTAGGGTATTTTTTTTCGCCTCCTTTTTCTCTCACCTTTGCTGTGTTTTCAAATCTACGATGATTTGACTTCGCTATCACTCTTAGGGTGGCGTTGCATTCTTGTCTATCTTACTCGAATGGAAAATATCGTAACATGATTTCGCATACTCTCCAATGAACTTCGGAGGAGGAAGGATTGGTTCTGACGTAGTCGTAGATGGGAAACATCGCAGTGACGACTCAATACATGGCGGTAGGTAGGGATGTTACACAAAAAGAGATTGCAAGTCAAACTATTAAATGGAACCTCCTTTGTCTCCTTCAACCAGTGAAATGATGTTCCGACACGATTGGCCCTAATCGTTTTGTGATACAACCAAAGATGGACTTCGGTAGTATCCGTAGGTGACTATCTAGAGGCTATCGACACATTCAATGATCGAAATCAGACGCTTGCATCGTATGGAGCATTTGTTGAAGAGAGTCTACATATTATCCGTTCATTTTCTCTTTATGCGTTTCAATTTGTCAAACGAACCGGTAATTTTTCAGCTCATGATTTAGCTTGTCAATGTTTATTTCAATGTTGTGAAGGAGCTCATCTTCCTTCGGAGCGAGTTTCGCCTAATATAATTTTCAAGTTCCTCTCTCTCAAAAAAAAAAAAAAAAAGTGTTAATGAATTAAGAATTGATAATTGGTATTAATGTAATAAATCAATTGGGGATGCATAGGTAAATCGACTCTAGAATCTTTTATAACTTAGTAAAAACTTGTGTGTTTTTGCTTCCGAGAATTGTTTGATTATTTATGTTCAAAACTGATAGTCAATCATCATCATCATATTTTGATCTTCTTAAAAATTCCTTAGAAAATAACAATTATAATACTTGGTAAATTTATGATTAATTTGTTAACAAAAAAACGATATTTGGAATTCACTATTATATAAAATAAGATACATAATGGTCAAAATCGGATTCAGTTGTCAATTTATTATGTGAAATGCAGAATTTGGAAACAATGTTTAATTGAACCGCAACTAATTTAAAGCTTTGAAAAAAATAATTAGAAATAAATTGATCGGACAACTACAAGATTCAACAAATGTGGTTGCACATATAATTTCAAAACATTAGAAGATACTAGTAATTTGACCCCTGCGCGATGCACGAGATATCAAAAAAATGCGCAACTCTCTTTCAGTTCGATTAAAATTGAAAAGGCCTTTCTCATGATGCTACATTATAAGCATTGTAGCGTGTTCGGAATAACAACCATCGATCTTTTGGGACCGGATAAACAAATTTGACCAGATAACGAAGCAAACAACCAAAACCAAAATATTGATAATGGCCTTAACTAAAATGATGAAACAGCAACACGGTAAAAGAAAGATTTCTACGTTTTCAACAAGTTCCGCCTTTTGGCCCCCTTTTTGGCGGATTTGCTGGCCCCTTTTTTAACGTATTGTCCTTTACACACACCCTTCACATCATCCACGGCAGCACGCAACGCATGAATGATCATTTTCTTCACCTAACAAAGAATATCAAATTTTCAAAAGTCGTAACGAAAACATTAGCTGAATTTTGAAGAATATAGAAGAAAAAAAGAAAACGAATCTCCGTCTAGCTTTCAAATTTAAGAGCACCGATATCCTAAAGAAACAAACGCAGCCTTATACAGAACATCAACGATATTGTTTTACGAAGTTTTCAAGGTTCGTGAAAGTCAAAGAGAGTCAAACCTCTAGCTTGTCTTCTTTAGCCCTGTGATTATGGGGAAGCATGCGAAATTCTTCGGTCAGTTTGAAGCACGAATCGACGTTTTCAGGTGACACAAAATCCACTGCAACCTTAATGCATGACTGCGCGAAGTAGAAAACACGAAAGAAAAATCATTATTAAGAAACAACGAAAGCTTCCTTTTTACGGGCTTCAGATTTTTACGTACGAATGCATCACACGAAAGTAAATGTTGCTTGGAGATTACGCTAAGCGACTAATAATGAATATATATACACACACACACACACACACACACATATATATATATATATATATATATATATATATATATATATATATATATATATATATATATATATATATATATATATATATATATATATATATATATATAACTGCAATAAAAGACGAAAGGAAGTACTTAATCAAACTCTACAAATACCTTCAAGTTCCGAACTTGATGAGGGCAACCAGCTGGTATAAAAACCGCATCGCCTAATCTCTGTATAAACGTCCACGGCTCAATTCCTAAGCATAAACAAAAAAAAATAGTCGATTAAAATCCGTACTACAAGTGACTTTAGTAATAAAAGAGAAGAAATAAAGAAAGTAAAGTCAACCGTATTCCTCCTTAAGTCTCCTTTTGTGCTCCGCATTCAAGTAAACGGTTTGGTCGTGAATTGGATGAATGACCTGCAAAACCAATTGTTCATAAGAATTGAACGAGCTCACAAACAAATAGAATATTAATAAACAAAAGTTAATCATTTCATATCGTATCTTCTCGTAAATTTACCTCGGGAAGAAGATTGCCGTAAATATGCCTAAACTCGTTAAAGTGCCGTTTTATGTACTCCTCCAACTTCGGGACATCTTGCTTTCTAAAGATGTCCCAAAGAGCTCCACTCTTGGGATCATTATTCACATCGTGACATGTTACACCACTTTCCGGGGCGTTTACGACATCTTTTCCCCGATTTGCCATCCGCGCAACTTCAGGAATCTCCCTTCTATCCTGTTCGGCGTGCTTCTCTTTCAACTTTCGAATTGCGTCTTGGTTTACGGGGCTTACGCTAACTGATTGCACATGCGTCAATACATTCACCTAATCAACACAAAACTACGAGTAAGCGAATGTTCGATACTTCACTTCCACTTAGATAGATGCCAATGAAAATAATATTGGACAACCAAGTAAGCAAAAATGGAAGGGGAAAAAAAAAAGAAAAACGGGACCATATACCACATCAGACACGTCACAGTGAAGCTTTGTTACAGAATCTCCACGAACTAGCTCTTCATTGAATCCATAAGCTATATAGGTTTTCGGGCCCATGTCGGGCTTTAAAGACTCGTTAGGCAGTTTAACTGCAAGATTTAAATATCCCTTGTGCGGATGCGAATACTCCTTAAACGGTAAGCAGCTGAGAAACTCGGCATTGTGACGAGGAAATTTCTTCTCAAATAAAGTGGAAGGGTGCCAGTCTTTCAATTTCAGAATTTCCGGCCACCCTTTACTGTCGAACCGACCTTCGGAATACCCTTTAAAGAATTGGAGTACATTGATATCCACCTGTATACGTTACGTCACAAAGAAGAGTTACCATACGAGATAAGAATACTTTACGGTAGATACACAAAACCGAAGCAAAATAAATAAATAAATCAATATAACATATGCCGACCTCACACCAGTTCAAGCAATTTATTGCGGTGACATCGAGAAGTTTCTCGTATTGAAGGTTTTTAATCTGACGAAAGGCACGATACATAACCATGGGTTCCCAGCTCAGCCCGAGTGTCGTTTCAAGAACATCCCTAACAATTACGGGTTCGCCCTTCGACCAGTGCCACTGAAAATGTTTATGATCCTCGTGCGTGAGGTCTACGGCCGTCGGGCAGTACAAAGAGTTGTCGAAGGGATCTTCCCGAGAGGCCGCTTTACACGAGTTACAGCTCGTTGTATCTGGAGAGGCGATTGCGGAACATGTACAGCTTCCCCCGGAAATTTCAGACACGCGTTCAACGTTGAGTTCATCGCGTATTTGTCTTGCTTCGATTACCAATTCTTGGATTGGTTCATCTTGTAATAAGGACTTGAGTTCCAAAACTCCTTCACCGCAGCCTCCCTTATCTTCCGGTGGACACGGGATAATGCCGTTTTCCTCCAACACTCTGATTTCAACACTGTTTAAATCTTCACTCTCTACTTTTTCCCCACCGTGCAGATAGTCGAAGCCATAGTCGACGAATTTAATAGGTCTTCCGTTTTCACCTCCCCGAATTTGGCGATCCCTACGTTCTCTACAACAACTAAGGCAGAGGTCATAGGAGCACAGAGGACAGCTTCTATGGTAATCGGCAATAGATGTTCGGCATTCATCACTGCAATCAATACGGACAAAAATCTAATCATTTGGTAATCGGCGATAGATGTTCGGCAATAGAAAATTTCCTTCATAAATCACAATACGTACCAATAGATCCGCTCGTACTTATTGCATGCTGCATCCTCAATCTTAATGTCTGAAACTGATAATCCTGCCAATACACAAATTTCTCATTCATACTTTAAAGTAGACATGACCACGGTTCGGTTTGGTTCCGGTTTCGATTTTGGAGGAACCGGAAACGAACTGAATATTTTCGGTTCTTTACGGTTCGGTTCCAAACCAGTTCCGGTTCTAACCGGTAGAACCGGCAAGTTCTTAGTAATATTTTTATTACTAAGAAACAGTGGAAAGAATACTTAAAAAACTTTTTTTATTTTTTTAAAAACATATTTAAAGTTTTTCTAAAAATACTTCAAGAATTTATTTTTATTTAAATTGACCGTTGGAAATATTTTTCTTAGATACTTAAATATTTCTTTAAAATACTAATGATTCGACAGTAACCTATGTTATAGGTTGCCTGTATGCCGATAAATACAAACACCTTTAGTTCAGTTCGTATAACTAAGGAAGTAAAGAATACCTTTAATCTTAGCTTCGAGTTCGAGCTCCGTCACTTGCTCTGTGTTAATCTGTTCGAGAAAGGACAGAAGCACTTTGATAATGTATTTAGAGTACGGAACCTCTTTATCTTTGTCAATTTCGGGGTACGACTTCTTCTGAATTTCAAGAAGACCCTACAAGCAAGGCATTCATTTGATGCATACAAAAAGCATATAATATAATGCAGCAAATAATCTCGTAGCAAGTGAGAGAAACAAACCTTAATCGGAAGTTCCATGCGTAAACATGCTTTGCAGTTGCAATTATTTCGACAAACGGGACAAAGTGTTGCAAAATCTTCCTCCGACATTTTCGGGTACCTATATATCAGAAAACAAGAATTTCACCCCGAGTGGCAAAATCGTAAATGACAAATCTGTTAAAACCTCTGTTAAAAGAAAAACGAATTCTAATGCTCTCGTAACGGTAGCATACCAGGTGGTCATGCAGGGAACGCAATATCGCTTTGTTTTGCATTCAACGCACCGTACGACTTTTCCTTTATCGTTTCTTTGACATTGATGACACATATTAGATTTACGAAATCCCTGCAAATATTATGACAAGTCCAACTAAGGTGGTGTTTGCAAATGCTTTTAGAAATAGATTATGAGCTTTTTTCGGCACATAATCTGTTTTTAGGTGTTTGCAGAACAAGCATTTGATTTTGCTTTTCTTAAAATAAGTTGAGTTAAGCTATAATTTTAAAAGCACCCATGTACAGGAGAACCTCGATAAATTAATACCCGATAAATAAATAACCTCGCTTAAATAATAGTTTCTTCAGATCCCGACTCGGTAAAAACCTACTAATTATTAGTTCGATAATTTAATATTTCGCTAAATTGATAGAATTTTGTTAGCCTCGACTCTATTAATTTATAGAGGTTTAACTGTACCTATTTTTTCTATTTTAGTTAATTTTACAGCTAGTTTGCAAACACCCACACCTTACAGAAATAAGCACTTATTTTCAACTGAACTCACAGTCACTAACTTCTGTTTTTAAATAAGCTTTTGCAAATACTGATCAAATTGCTTAAAAAAAACATTTGAATCAAATTAAGAAAGTGCCGCTTACATCTTGATCCTTGCTCGTTACGCGCTTTGGCACATTCTCCGAATTCACCTTCTTTGCTCCAATCGGATTGCTTCTTCTTCGATCATCGCTCCTTTTTCTTCGATTTGTATTATCTTCCTCCTCTTGGCTTATTTTTTCTTCAACTTCACTCCCTTCGATTATAAATCCGTCATTTTTCCGAGCCCTTTTGCCCAAAGATTTCTTTTTTCCGTCACTTTCACTTTCTTCCGTACAAAGATCGTCACTTTCTTCATTACAGTTCTTCATTGGCCGATCCCTCTTCAAACGGCGGTTCGCTCTTTCAGTAACAGAAGTACCAAGATTCACCATGTTTTCTTGATCTTCCGATATTTCAGCGTTAAACTCCCTCTTCCTCACTTTTTATATTGACAGACAACAGAGAAGGAGTTGTAAGTAAGAATTTTAATGGGGGTTGCGCTGAATGCTGACAGAAAGTGGGCAACCTTAAGGGCATCTCCAATAGAGTCTCCAAATTGGGTCTCCAAATTCTATTTTGGAGACCCAAATAGAGACCCGGTAAAATTTTACGGTCTCTAAAACAAAAAATTCCACAATGGGAGGGCTCTATAATTTTGAGTCTCTAAATCATGCTACGGATTATTTTATATAGTAATTTGTTTATGGCTCAAAATTTATTCATATACGAGATTGTAGACAATTAAATTTTATTTGAACAATCTTAATTATTTTTAATACACATTTTGATCCGAAAAATGAAAATTTCTGAAAAGATATGAAATATTGAACTACGACCCCTTGAACTTTCTTCAAGATCTTCCATTACTGTTAAAAAATAATTAAATAGTAAGTCATTAAATTAAATATAAAAGAATTAAATTTATTAAACCTAAAAACAAGATAAACTAATTACTATAAAAAAAACACTAATTAAATATTTTTTGAGTAACTAATTAAATACTTAATAATTATAAGATTTGTAAATTTCCACTAATTGTGCACCGCCTTTAATCTCCACTAATTTTTTTCTTCTTCTAAATCTAACGCCTCGCCTCTTCTTCCCCCAATTTTTTCACTCTGTTCTTACGCAGCGTAACACATAGAAATGAAAAAAAATTGTGCTCCTAATTTCTTCAAGAATTGAAGTAAAACCCAACCCCCTACTTCTAATTTATTTATTCTCTGATCCATAAACCATCCATAAACCCAATCAAGTTTCCAATTTCTACAAGTATTAAAGAGAAAAAAAAAAAAGAAAAAAAAACTCACAATCTGAAGATTTAGAAGTGATGAAGAAGATGAAGAACAATTAGAGGCATTTATGCTTTTTTCATTATTTTTTCTTACCGTTGAAAACCAACGGTCATATTTGCAAACATTCAAATTTTAATTTTTATTTAAGAAAATTAAATTCAAAATTTAAATTCAAGAAATTTTATTTTGTTTGAAGCTGGGTCCATTAAATCAGAGTCTCCAAACCAATACCTAAATTTAGAACCAAGTTTGCATATTTTGCAAAAATCTGAAAATATAGAGCCCCTTATAATGTCTTATTGGTGTTGGATTTTGTTGCAGAATTTCTATATTATGCAGCCCAATGGAGTTTAGAGACTCCATTGGAGATGCCCTAATAATAAGGGTAAATTACAAACACCATGAGGCATGGTCAATTTAAAAAAAAAAAACCCTCTTGTTTGGATAATTACATCTAAGCCCCTCAATTATGATTTTTTCTTACACCTCCAACTTTATGGTGTCAAATTCAACATAATTATTTGGATTTCGTGGAATGTGCTCTAGTTTATACTTATTTTGTGTTAAAATACAGTTTCTGATGCACTACAATCTGATATATACAAGTCAAAAAACACATATTATGATCATCTTGCTTCAAAATGTAGAGTTCGAATCGGATAAAACGGGTACAAAAGTGATAATATTCAATATAATCTCGAAGATTCCACTAAATTTGAGGAGTTGATGGATGGTTGTAATTATCAAACAAGAGGGGTTTTTCGTAATTTGACCATACCTCAGGAGTGTTTGTAATTTACCCTAATAATAATAATAATAATAATAATATAATACTCCAAAATTTTTGTAAAAATTCCCGCCTTTTTTTGCTGGATTGAGGGGAGAGCGGGGAAACTGTATGCGCGGCTGATACTTTTTTTATTTTTTCTTTTTTTCTTTTCTCGGTTTTCGCAAATTCACACTCAACCCCTTTTACTATGAAATGATGTTTGATTTTACTGAAAGGGGTCGAATTGCAATTCAATTGCTTGTGGAATTTGAAAAGCCTTCTCTTTATAAGAAAGGTTGGTTTGATTTTGTTAAAAAAATTTAGTACAAAGATATAAATAAATCTTCATTTACCCTCAAATTCATGTTCTTCTCCTTTTCTCTCCTTGTGTTTAAATACCAAGCTGAATTCTTGATCAACGGTCTTGAAACGGCATAACGATATTATGAAATGTACTCGTCTCATAACAAGTGGTATTAGAGTCGCCTGATTTTTGTATGAGTATTTATTAAAACGGGGAAAGAATTGGAGAAAAAAATGAAATGCTTGCAATTTTAACGCTATGCTATATGCATCGGAAAAAAAATGGAAGTATATTGATTCCTACATCTAACAAATCGCGCGGAAGCAAAGTTAGATGAAGTGTTGGAAGCCATCGAACTAAAAATTTGCCCATATATTAACATGGAATTAGGGCATCTCCAAAGGAGATGCTAAATGGTACCTATCAGCTATAAATATAGCATTATACCATTTATGCAAAAAAAAATAAGCTCAAAGGGAGCAGCTAAATTGTAGCTGGACAGGTAAAATCATACTTCCAATTGGTATATATATCATCTACTGTAGACAAATGTTAAGTAAAAAAGTATTAAAATAATCAATAAACCATCAACAAATAAATGCAAACCCCCACCCGTAAAAGTGAAATTGGATAGATATATAGTATCTTCTAATAAAATATAATAAAATGCTAAATTTTAGATAGTATAGTTGGATTACATTAGTAAAAATTGAGTTGGTATAACACTATTCATTAGGTATTATAGATCTAGCATCTCCAATTTTAGGTCTTAATCTTGGAGATACTCTTACTCTCAGAGTACTCATTTGAAGAGGTTAAAAGTTCTCAATTTTTTTTTATAGGGATTTGCAATAACACTCTTTTCATTGGGGAAAAGTGCAATGAACAACAATCTCAATAAAAACAGTCATATGTACTCCTTTTCAAAGGACCCCAAAAACAAGAAATTATGATTTTATTTACAATAATAAACTTTTATTTTATAAGAATAAGTTTTAAATAAGCTTTTATTTTACAATAGTAAGTTGAAATTATGATTTATTTACTATACTAAGATTTATAAACTAAAATAATAAGCAATTAATTTTAAACTTTATTCGTAACCATTAATTCCAACTTTCCAAAATTTTTTGCAACCCATCTTAGTAAAAGATGGGTTTTCAGACGCTACATCTCTAAAATACGTTGAATGATTTTGAACCACAAATCTATATATAATAACACACACTACTTTGTTTTAAAATGGTCGAGATGATGACGTGTCCTCCTTGGAACATATTTTGGATGACAGTGTGCCGGAGATTCTGCTGGAGGAATACCTGCAACGCTGGGAGGGATTTTCCGGCGTAGAAGCTCCGATGATCAAGTTAGTTTTTATTCAGAGATAATCGATTGTGATATGTAAGAGAAAGCACATAAGTGAAAGGTTGAGAGTAACACCCTATTTACATGTGAGGATACTTGGTGGACAAGAGATAAGCAAACTGCCCTAACTTCTCTTATTGGGCCTGCTATGACTTTGAGCTAAATATATAGGTCTTAGCTCCGTTCAGTCAGCAACCCAAGCGAATATGTGTTCAACTCGATCTTGATTCCGATGATTACTACTCAGAATACTACAACTTTGTCGACTATTGGGCCCCATACAAGTGAAAACCTGATCCACGGCCCAATAAAAGGGTTAGAAAACCTCGTGAGGACAATTTAGTTCGTATGACACACTCATGTGTATGTGTGTTTAATAAATAGTTATTTGTATTAATCTACAGATGACAGTTTAAATTCACCCAGTACATTTCATCAGATGTAACACCTCATAAACCATAAAAGACTTATTCAGTAGTTGTACCACTTGAGAATGTTTACTTCAAATAAGACGTGCTTGATTTTTTCAACAAAAATGGACCAAAGAGATAAGTAGTTATGAAGACCGTTGACCAAAGCACACTGGATAGGACACGCCACATTGGCAACTCAATCGCGACTGTCATTAATAAGTCATCAATAACATGTTAAAAGTTATTAAAAAAAATTATGCATTATTATTAAAATTATTATTAAAATACATGGTAAACCAAATTAGTTTAAGGATAAAGAATGGAATAATAAAAGTTTAAATGCTATTAACATTTTTTCATTTACATATATTAGCGCACATATAATAGAAAATTAAATGTTAATTAAAACATCATAAGTTGAAATATACTATATTTATAATATAGTTATCGAAATACATTTTTTCATAAGCTTTCGTGATATATTATTACTTATATGTGGAGTATGTGAAATACATTAGGCTAGTTTATATGTGGATTGCATACATAGGCGGTACTACTAAGGGGCAGGGGGCGCAGTTGACCCCCAAGAAAAAAAAAAAATTTGTCTTAGTTATTTTGATATTATATTTTTTAAATATTACTTTTGGCTCTCTTAAAAGTTTTGTAAATAGGTGTCTTAATCTTTAATTTTTTGTTTATTTCTTCATAATTTTATATAAATTATAGATATATATCATATTCGTTATAAAAATATAAAATAAAATGGTTAAAACTTGTACAATTTTAAATAAAATTTATGAATATTTACTTATCGATCTTTGATTTTTTTATATCAATGTCTCTAAAAATAATATGAGACGGTGCCACGAATCCCATTAAGTGCAATATTGTGAACCTAAATTTTTTTTCGGGGCACTGCCCCAAACCCCTAAATTTTAGTCCGCCCCGGCCCCCTACTTTCTAATCCTGATTCCGCCCCTGATTGCATAGATAGTTTATTAATTTATAGGGGAAAAAAGTAAGAAGAATTTGGCCCATTTAAGCTCGAACTTCAACTTGTTCTCTAATTAAATTATCCACAAATTATCAGTGACGAATCCATGATTTATGTAAAAAATGAGTATAATAAAAACTTCTATAAAATTCAATCGTTAATTAACACGTCCTTGTACTTTCAGCAGTTTAATGAAGCCGTGTGATGATATGCTACTTTTCTATATTATAATTAAAACTTCAACTTTATAAATTCAATCACTAATAAATTACGAGTAGACTACTATAGTTTGACAACTTATTTTAAGATGTCTATTTTCTGACTAAATCCAATCTGAATATTACATTTGGAATTGCTTAATTTTTCTAGTGT